GCGGTTTTATGACTGTCTGCGGGATTTATTTTTATTTGATGGAATCCGGAGGCGAGATCGCATACTGAAAAATATCGCGCTCCGCCTAATTGATCTAATATATCGACAATATTTGGTAACGGATAAGCATCGCCGATAGTTTTTTCATTTAAAGCTCGAAAATCTAGGATCATCCTCCAGCGTTTATTTCCTTTGGAGTCTTCCTTTTTCGGTACAATCCAGATAGGAGTATTGTACGGTGACTGTGAAGGCTTTACGATACCTCCCTCGAGTAGTTTACCTACCTGTTTGTTTATTTCTTTTTTATGAATTTGCGAGAATCTGTATTCCCTGGTATTAATAGGCCGATCATCCGTTGTCGGGATCTGATGTTGTAATACCTGAGTTGCCGTTAATTTTTCTCCAGGAATATGGAATCTGTCCTGGCTATTAGATATGAGATTTATTACATTTTCTCTTTCCTGCGTATCCAAATGCTCTAAACGTAATAATTCGATAATTTCTTTAAGTCGGCTCTTCTTAGGTTCTTCCGATAATAACAAGCATTCACGCGAAATATCACTCTTTGATTTCTGTTCTTTCTTTTCTTTATGTTTTGTTTTACGTTTGCGCATGAATTTTTCTATCATTTTTTGCGATTGAGTTTGCGTAGACGCGAGAATTTTCGAAGACGGCTTAATTTTTTTCTTGGTATTATTTGATTTTTTAATCATAGAATTGTTTAATTGTACTCCTTTGGCGAGTTCTTCAATAGTAATATGAGAGAGATCATTTCGATTATTATTATTTTTTTTTTAATGGGAATTCCAACCCTTGGAAAGTTTATTTTTTCAAAGAGCATCGAGGAGTTCTTTTCTTTAGACTCCTTTGAATAAGATTTAGTCGTATTGCGTGGTGAGATTTGATAACGTCCCTCTTTGCAATCGACGGGAATAAAATTCAGGAAAGTATGGAAACTTTCCTCTGCAATTCCAGAATTTTTCAAAATTTTAGAAGGGGTTTAGAAATTTCCCCCTTTAAGGATTTTGGAATTAATGAAATTTTCAGGAGGGGTTTGGAAATTTCCCCCTCCAAGGATTTTGGAATCTAGAACTCCGGAAATGGTCTGGAAACCCTCCTCTCGACGAATATCTAGATCGGAGTTTCGGAAGAGCACACGTC